ACACGCAGAAGAAAAACATGTCCGTTGCCCCAGAGCCACACAACTTGGTCTCTTCCTGTGAGTCTCTGCCACCCTCTGAGTTTGCCTGAACCTCCTCAAGAGCCTTCCCAGAAAGACTGCCCCAGGCCCAGGCTGCTCGCAGCTAGCTGATTTCTTGGCAGGGCACAGCTTGTCAGGGTGGGGCCGTGGAGAGTTGGAAGGTTGAGGCCAATCTCCCCAGGCCAATACAGTATGGAGAGGAGTGCTGACCCGGGAGAGATCTATAGTGGGTGAGAGGACGACTCAGCATAGGGACAATGGCAGATGTTTCTTCAGCTCTCTCCCCAAAGCCACACAACCAATTTTTTCCTGTAGGACTCAAGTCTGCTCCGAGCTGATGTACCTCCACCAGAATCCCAGGTAAATGCCCACAAATGCCATTTTGGGTGCTGGCCCTTTAAGAGGGGGCCTTTGTCTCCAGCATTCTCCTGTCTCTCCCTGGCAGATGGAATCCCCACTGATTTTCACAGCCAGATCCTACGTGGGCTCCTTGTCCTGGCTCTAGTGCTCTGAGATGGAGGAGCCTGGAGTGAGGCAGAGACCCCTCACTCTTCAAGAAGGACCTTTGCAGCTGAGATATCACTCCTGATTCTCAACCAGTGCACACCAGTCTGGGGCCAGCATTTTTTGCATCTCCGCCCTTCCTAACAGCCTTGAAGTTGCTTCTTCTGTATGCCCTTAGTTAAAAGACTTCTGTTCACGTAGAGATAACAGTTTGTGTAAAGTGCCAACATGAACATTTCATCTAGTCTGACTGGTAATTTATTAATTTAATCATCAGTTATTGCATATTAACTAACATTTTTAAAAGGTCTCACTATGTAAATAATGTTAGTATGACAGTGAGATGTATGTCCTGAGGTAACACAGTCCATTAACAGTATTATAGGCTATAGACACTTTCAGCGATAGATTTATTATTACAGTTGCTATTAAAAATATCATTCTCCACCTCACTGCCAGCTTTAAAGCAGGATAGTCACTAGGCATATTAAGCCTACTATCTGAGGATCTGTCCAGAAAAAGTCCAGCCACTGTTAATATAATGAAAACAGTTCACACGACATCAATGCAACCTGGCAGCCAAGGAGAGCAGACTGTAATGCGCATGCCTGAACAATGATGACTTTATTGTACTAGGGAACAGGAGATGCCCTTGAGTGGGCATGTGTACTGTGTGGCAGTCACATTCAAAATGTCGAGCCAGTAGAGCAACGCATCTGCATCAAATATTGTGATAAACTTGAACATCCCTTCACGGAAACTATTCCAGCGATTCAGAAGGCAGCAGCTACAGGCACCTGGTGATTGACAGCTTCATCAAAACAATGTGCCCACTCATGTATCACATCTCATGCAGATTTAGGGCAAAACATCAAATCACCCAGATGACTCAACCCCTCTACCACCCAGATTTGGTGCTCTGTGACTTCCAATTTTTCCCAAAACTAAAATCACCTTTGAAAGAGAAGAAATTTCAGACCATTGATGAGACTCAGGAAAATACAACAGGGCAGTTTATAGCGACAGAAAGAAGTGTATGAGGTCCCAAGGTGCCTATTTTGAAGGGGACTGAGGTGTCATTGTCCTATATACAATGCTTCTTATACCATGTATCTTCTTCAATAAATGTGTCTATTTTTCATAGTAGATGGCTGGATACCTTCAGGAAGGACCTCATATTCTTCACCTAATAAAATTCTTTATCCTTACCCCAAGAGTGAAAATTTCTATTCTCTCCCAAGTACTTTAAAAACTTAAAACCAAGTATTTCTGAGTAATTTTCTTGGATTTAAAGCTATGGTAAATGTTGGTTAATATTTATTTCTTTTAAAAGTAGTTTTCATATAGATTATAGACAGCTAGGGTATAGGTAGAGAAACAGACAAAAGGAAAATATTAGTCTTTTCTTTTTCTTCAATTTTTTATTGCATTTTTTTCCAAAATCACTTATACCACCCTCTCCCCAGCAATCACCACACTGTTGTCCATGTCCACGAGTCCATTTTTGTTTTGCTCAATCTCTTTACCCCACTTTGTTGTCATCCTGCTCTCTATTAATTGATTTGAGGATATTGTACCAATGTGGCATCCCAGGATCTATCTCTATTTTGCTTGTTAGTTTGGTTTGTTCATTAGATTCCACTTATGAGTGAAATCATACGGTATTGGGAAAATTGGACAGGTACATACAGAAAAATGAAACTAGACCACCTTCTTATACCACATACAAGAATGAATTCAAAAGGGATCAAAAACTTAAATGTTTGCCCCAAAACTATAAAAATCGTAGAAGAAAACAGAGGCAGCAAAATCTCAGGCATTGTTCGTAGAAAATTTTTATCAGAAATATTTCTCCCCAGGCAAGGGAAACAAAAGAAAAAAATGGGACTACATAAAACTAAAAAGTCTTTGCACAGCAAAGGAAATCATCATAAAAATAAAAAGACAGCTGAAAGAATGAGAGAACATATTCACCAATATATCTGATAAGGGGTTAATATCCAAAATGTATAAAGAACTTACAAAACTCAACACTAAAAATACAAACAACCCAATTTTAAAAATGGGTAAAGAACCTGAAAAGGTACTTTTCCAAAGAGGACATAGAGATGGCCAGTAGACATATGGAAAGACAACCAACATCACTAATCATCAGAGAAATGCAAATTAAAACCACAATGAGGAATCATCCCACACCTGTCAGAATGGCTATCATCAATAAATCAACAAACAAGTGCTGGCAAGGATGTGGAGAAAGGGGAACCCTAGTACACTGCTAGTGGAAGGCAGTATGGAGATACCTCAAAAAATTACAAATGGATCTGCCTTTTGACCCAATGATCCCATTTCAGGGAATATATCCAAAGGAACCCAAAATACTAATTCAAAAGAACATAAACACAACTATGTTCATTGCAGACTTATTTACAATCTCCAAGCATCTAAACTGTCCATTAGTAGATGAGTGGATAAAACAACTATAGCATATTTACACAATGGAATACTACTCAGAAGTAAAAATGAAGAAAATATTACCCTTTGTGACAGTATGGATGGACCTGCAGAACATTATGCTAAGTGAAATAAGCCAGCCAGAGAAAGGCAAATTAGTCTTTTTCTTAAACTGAAAAGAATATGCTTTAGATTTCTTAACAGTTCTTATCTTCTCTGGTCTTTAGTGTGGATGTGATTAAATTGCTATGCTAATTAGATTGTTCACATCATTCTTGTCTAAACAACTTCTAGATACCTGAAGCAAAGAATGACTTCTGCAGCCAGCAGCCAGAGGAAGAAAAATATCTTCAACAAAGGAGAAAGATTTCTCGGGCTGAGCAAACACCTAACCTACCTTAACTTCAGCTCTTGGCCAGGTCTGTTTTCTTCTGTTTCTAGAAGTCATTGAGGACACTCAGAAATTTAGAAGAAGAGGATTTTCTTCAGATCTAATTTATTTAAGGGAGTAAGGGAGAGACTGCATGTGTACACTAGAGGTATTGTTCTTTAATTCTAATTTCATTAGGCTTTGAGGACTAGACCTGTGTGTGTAACAGGAAACTGAAAATACTATAAAACATTATATAAATATCATTATCCCAAATCTTCTTATCAATTTCCATTGCCACCCTAGTCTAGTAATTCATTCAGTTATTTATTCATTCAGTCAATCAATCCATCTTTTTTTCTTTAATTATTCTTTCTATGCATACTTATTGAAGGCCAATTAGAAGCTAGGCACTATGCTCAGCATTTAAGACATGACAGTAAGACAAACATACATAGTATCTAATCCCACAACACTTACAGTCCAATATGAAAGTCAGTAAACAAGTGCACATAGATGTGGGAGGGTTCTCTGGGAAGGCTTCCCAGAAAAAGAAATTTTACAGAAACAACACATAAAACAAAAAGGATAGTGGGAGGGAGTGGCAAGGTAGAAAATTCCAGGCAAAGGAATCAACATACGTGAGTATAATGTCCACAGATAAAAATGAGCCTCGTAATTATGCCATCCTCTTTCCCACATTTACACCTTTGTTCCATTTATTTTTCTCCCTTCAAAATCTCTCCCCTCTCTCCTCTTTCTGCTTTATGAAATCAAATGTATCCTTCAAAGCCAAGATCAACAATACACACCCACCTTCAATGACAGTACTTGAATCATATCAGGCATGAAATAACACTTAATAAATGAATGGATGATAAAATCATCATTCTTCCCAAATCACAGATATGCACGTGCCTGCCCCATGAATTAAAGGACATAACCCCATTGTTCCTAATGCATAATAAGCACTAAAAGAATATCTGTAGGACAACCATAGCTAATAATTTAAGATTAACCAGAGCTGTTAAAGAATGATATTTCCATCCTCTACTGACGGTACAATGACTTGGCAGAACGAAAAGTCTAGAAAACTCAAAATACTATATAGACATGAATTATGTTAATATTGAACATCAGATCTTCCACAAAATATGTCTCAATAATAGAAATTATTTTTGTATTTAATTTCTTGAATGGCTTATTTTTAAATACTTTTGAATGACATTTCTGATAAAAACTTCTAAATTTAAATACTGCTGGAGACAATAAGTGATTTTTAGAATATACTTAGAATACATTAAGAAGGAGTCTTTAATTAATGAACTAGACAACCTGGAAAATACTATTTGACTCTCACCTTCCTAAACTAGGACAAATTAGGAAATGTAAATTATACTTTAATTTCATTTAATGTTCATGATATTATTTTTTGAATCATGCCTCAAGCTACCATTGTAGAATTTGTTACATAATTCATAATTTGTTATGAAATTAACCTAGATTAAACCTGGGTAAGTCCATTTTTCAAATCATAGAAGACCAAGTGCAAAGGTAGAAAGAGGCTCTCAAAGAAAAGGCAAAAATGTTAAATAAGAAAAAAATGATAAAACTCCTAGTTACTGTAAAGTAGTACCTGTAGGAAAAGCAGCCCAAGGAATAGCAGGAGATGTAGTTTGGGTTTCACCGCTTCCACTATCAAAAATCTCTGCAGCCTAGAAAACAAAGGCAAAATTACTTTAGAAGGCCTGGAAAAAATGCTATTTAAGTAATCAAGCTTCCCATTTCTACAAGCATATCCTCTGTAATATACCACACATTTTCAAATTCCCTTTGAACACTCAATTGCTTTTTAGTCTTCATTGCTACCACTCAACCAATACTTACTACCCCCCGTACTCCTATTATCTTTAAGGAAAAAATTCTCTTACTAAAATACATCTCCTGTCAATGAAATTTTTATTTTATATATCCTTAATCATATTTTCACTTGTGAACGTCATACCTAAGTATTCTACTATAACATACCACATTTACCCATGTACATAAGAAAAATAGAACACTTTTTTTCTTTAAAAGACTAAAACCAAATCTCTTTCATTAATTAGCACAAGACCTACCTTGAGATCAAGCTAAAGAAATGGCATTCATCTATATTTTTGAGTAATCTACCAGTTGGACTTACTTATTCAAAATTTATAGAATTCCTATAGCTGACATTTTAAATTAACAAGCCCTATGGGGCAATTACTGAAATGTTGAGATGTGGGTTAGAGTACAGAGTCTTCTATCTCTTAAGTGTCCAGGTCAAAGTAAAACCATTACTGAAAAAAGAGGCATAATTTCAATTCAGATTCTTCATTGAGTTCTTGCCAAGGAGAAGTAACTGCGTATATCTGCCCCAAGAGGTAAGTGATGTGGAATATAATGTAGCTATGGCTGTTCTCTCAACTCTAAAAAATGAACATGGTTTATATGACCAAGGATAGAGACCTTCCATTTCTATAACAGGATGTGGTAAGAAAGAACCCTAATAACCACAATTAAATTGGAATGGTTGGTTAAAACTGTACTTATGTAATATTGAAAGTAATAGGTACATTAACTATAACACTGAAGTATAATTGTTACTCTAAGGAGCACTACCCACTCAATTTTTTTAATATAATAAATCAAACATGGTTTAAATAAAAAAGACTATGCTAAGTTTTAACCTTCAAATAACTGACAACTTCTAAACAATAAGCTACAATGATATCTGAAATGTTTTCCTCAAAATAGGAGAGATTTTAACAAAATTTTAAATGTTACATTTCAAAAAAATAAATAAGATTCAATCACCCAAAAGATCTAAAATATAGAAAACATTCAATTGTTCTACACAAAAAAAGTTTTAGATGAAATGTAGACAATAGGTATGTTCATAGTTTAAATATCTCCATATTAACAGATTAAAGATCAACAGAAAATGGCCCTAACCTAAAAAAATTCATACCATTCTTTCATAACATTCAGAACACTGAATATGTACTTTATATCTTATATTTCCGATTAATGTCATTAATTATATTCCCCATTCTTAACAATCTCATTTTACCAAATTCCAAACTAGGCAAAAGTCTCACTTAAAAAAAAAAAAAGTCACAGAGCTCACTCGATGGTAGTTCCAGGCCTTGAGCTCAGGCATCCTGGCTCCTAATCCAGAGATTTTCCTGCAAGACTATACTGGCTCCATAAAAATAACTGGGTTACAAAATATTTCAATAAAATGAACGCTCACTGAAAAGGATTAAGAAAAAGCAGTGCTTCTTCAGCTAACAGTTTCCACTTACAAAACACCAACTCCAACCTGAGAGAAGGCTCTAATGCAAACATACTAATTAGCTCTATAAGCCACCAAAAAGCTATGTAGTTAATAGTCTAAATCAACTCATTACAGGTGTAAACATGAAAATATGTGACAGCCCTTCAAAGTCATCTCTCATCTCACAAGTATTTCCTAATTGACATGTATCCCAAGAAAATCATCTGCTGACAATTTTTAAAACCTCTTCTTTAGTGCTTCCACTAGTAGCACTTAATTACCCTAATTTAAACCATTCCTACGGGCATGACCAAATGTTCAATAATAATAAATCAGTTTAACTTTCAGAGGGGATATATTTTAATTTGCCTTAATTTCATTTTGTTATTCCAAAGTTACATTCAAAATGATCAAGAAAAAGGTCATGAATGCCAATGATAAATAATACACTTTCAAAACAGTATATACTACATTATAATCTCACAAAGTTAAACCAATTACATAAGCAAAATTAAGGTACATACATAATAGTACATACCTCAAAACCACCAAAATCATCATCATCCATTCTTCAGGTGCACCTGAAAATAACAAAGAGACACTGAAACAAGCCCCCACACACACGCACGCACGCAGTGAGCTATGTCAAAACACTCTGCCTTAAAGGTATATACAGCTTGATTTGTAAATTAAAGCTATTATATCTGGGTTTAAAAAAACTTTTGTTAACTACATGTGTATGCATTTTTAACTCAAAAAGACTAGATGTTTTTGACAAAATTAGCCTTTCTGGCAAAATTAGCAATTTTTGTGACTTTTTCCTGCAACCATGGATTTTGCCATTTTATGTTGAGACGCCAGGAGTGGAAAAATATTCTTTTACATTTTAATTTGCTTTTCCCAAATTGGCGCTAGGGCTCAATTCAATAATGCTTCCTGCTTTATGCATCTATTCCTCAGTTGTCTGGCAACATCAGCATAAACTCCAGTTAAGAACAGGACTGTGGTGAATTTTTGGAAATCTGTCCCCCACCACAAAGGTTCTTCCCTTGGTTTCATGGCCGAGGTTGATTTAGATTTTCAAAATTGATCAGCATTTTTGAGCTGTGGCCACAACTTCTGGAGCATTTTGATATGTGTATTTTTAGCTGAAACTGCTTTGCACTGTTGGAAAAATGTGGAGCAAGTTACTAGGCTGATCAAGATAAATCAAGTCATGTATTCGTAAGAGACTAGGGAAGAAAAAAACCCAAATGAATGTCCAGAATCCCTCTCTTCTTTACTCTGAAAATACACAAGAAAGACAATCACTAGGACAACACATGTTTTATTTTGTCCTAAATGTATATCATAAAAATGAAGCTTGTATTTAACAAACCATGAAAGAACTAAAAGACCTGGAAAAGTAAACAAGTAATAGGTGGTAATATCAAAATGAAAAATGAATTCACAATAAATTGCTGCAAGTGATATTCTGGTCAATAATAGCTGGTTTCCTTTTCTATATTTTAAAAGCGAACATATCCATATATTAATTATACTTTCCTTGACTCAGTATATACAAGATGGACTTGATTACAGGAAAAGTAATATTCTCCAATTTCTAAAAGAAAAATAGCTACAACAAATTAAACCACATGTTAAGCAACAATTCTACAGGCACTTTGCTCTGAGTGATGAGGCAGTAGTTACCTGTAGCCACATTTTGTCTTCTCACTGAAATTAATACTATTGCTTTCAAAAATAAGACAAAAAATAGCCAAAGATTGTTTTGCTTTAATAAGCAAAGAAAATTTATTTTCATAGAAACTCAGTGGGTAATGACACTAAAAGAAATACATGTGAACAAAAACACATTCATAAAGGAAGGATATTAAATTAACCAGAATACCAGAACTGTCACTATTACCTACACCTTAAAAATCTAATGAAAAACTTTTTAAAGAGGTACTTCCCCAAAAAACAACACTAAGCAAGTCATCCACTTAGTGCACTTAAAAAATATGAGCCAGACATTCAGAAACTTTTGATGGTGGTTAGTTCGAAATGGAATTCACATTAATTTTGTGTAGCAAGCAAATAGAAATCTGTATGTGATTACATTTTTTCATGAAGAAATTATGAAAGAAGAATGATATGGATACAGAGAATTAACCAAGTCAAGCTATAAACACCAAGTTTGTCTTTTCCACATGTATCCCACAAATCTCAGGAGACAATTAAAAAATATTTTTAGCATCTACAAACACTCTAACCAAATAATATGGTTTCAAAAGAATGGAATTTTTAGAGTAATACTTCTTTGTGTTTTTATAACTCATATCCCAATAAATTATTTGCAAGGTGCCAGAAAATTTGAAAACAAAAACAAATACCCGTGTCTAACAATCATTTCAGCTTTGTTTGCCTGTGGTAATGAACCAAATACCATCAGTTTCCTAAGTACTGATTTAGCTCTACAAAAGAACATGTTATTGACCACTGATGTTTTCCATACCTCTCAGCAACTTCTACATATTAAAATGCAGATGATAGTCTTCCTCTACTTTATTTTCAAAGAAATATTAATACACTTTAAAAGACAACTGCGTGCTGAGTTTCTTAAAAGTACAGTACTAGAAAAATAAACATTATTTTAAAGCAATAACCGTTCCCTGAGTAACTGAGTTTCAGATCCTGAAACAGTTTGTTTCCTCCTGGACATTTGAAAGATCAGGAGGAAAGAAAATTACAACACTGATTAATAAAAATCCATTTTACAAAATATAAAAACTAACATTAGTTTTTAAAAGGAAAATTACAAATATAGACTTTTTATGGATATACCTTCTCTAATACATTAAAACAGTATTTTAAATAAAGTGCATTTATAAACTTTTTAGAATATTTCTAAGCATTTAACATTATATCTTATTACACTACAAATATTACACTACAACACTAAATATATGTCATGTAAGTTATATAATCATGAGCCTCACCAAAAAATTGACAAATCATGTAGTTCTTTCTTTACTGTCCTGGAAAAAGAGAGGTGTACTTTGTTATGATTAGATATATAAATTGAAAGATTTTCATAATATCTCTGTTTAACAAATCTCATACATCTATATATCTGAATTTAATCTCTTTTTGCACTATTGTATTAATTTCTTCCTTTTCTATCCTCAGTATTTGATATGTTGCTAATATTTTATAAGATAAACATATATGAAACACTTACTGGAACAAATTTTGCCTGAGTAGCTCTGTGGAAGATCACTAAAGGTCCTCAAGGAGTTCAAGTCAGGAGTGGGGGAAAAGACAGAGTATAAGAAAAGCATGCAAATGCAAACAATATGAGACATAACAGAGCCATCAGAAAGTAGAAAATATGTCCAAGGAGGAAGGAAAGATTTTCATAAGGTCGTTTATCTAGTTGAAGCACCATGAAATGTTCCAGGTATGAGACATTTGAAATCTATTTCATCAGACCTAACAGAAAATTTTAAATGACACATTAAGAACACGCAATTTATTCAAGTCTTTTCCCAAAGATCTTTTCTTAAAAGATAGCAAATATTTGTCTTGTTCTCTCATAAACGCAGGGTCAAAGAGGATGTAAAATGAGAAAACTATACAAAATTTGAAAGGAAATACAAAAATGAATCAAACTACAAGTCAGAAAAGGAGAATCACGTTTACATCAAAGAATTCACAAAAGGCTCGGGAATGGGGGGGCGGAAGGGCACTGAGAGCTAGATAAAAGTAAGACTCAAGATAAGAGTCGCACCTATACCTAAGATTCCTTCCCAGAACCTGCACAACTGTGCAACTTACAGTCCCTCCTCACTGCTGCAGACTGAAGGTATATTCCCCGGACATGGTAATAAAGCTCAGGGTCTCTGGGCTGGAAGGCACTGAGACAGGTGAACAAAGTCAAAGTTGTATCAAGTATTGAGGCCTGTTCCCCAGGTCTGCTTTCACCCCTTTGCAACCAACCTGCCTGTGGCCGGACTTCAATTCAACCTCTAATCAGCAGTTTAGAAGATTCTTCTCTGGTGAAACCTAATTTAACCCATGAAAAAGGACCTCATCAGAGGTTCCACAACAGCTCACTCAGGTCACACCACTTTGACAAACCCTAACCACATACACAGAATTTCCAATTCACTCCTTATTTCATAAGATGCAGAAGAGTATAAAGGTTCAAAGAAGAGACAATGGAGTCAAGCTGTTTGGATTCAGATTCCAGCTCTGCCACCTACCAGCTGTGTTACCCTGGGCAAGTTACTCAACATTTTGTGCCTCAGTTCCTCATCTGTTAAATAGGGATAATAATAATAATTAATAATTAATACAATGGTAACTAAATTCTGAGGTCATTAAGAGGAGTAAATAGGTTAAAATTGATGAGGCACTTAGAACAGTGCCTGACACATTCTAAGCATTATATATACAATGTTTGTTAATTTATAATTAGTGCTTCACTCTTCCATATGAGCAGACTCCAAGGACAATTAAAGACATAAGATATCTAATATGAAAAATAGAGAACAAGCCAAAAAAAAAAGACATAGAAAAAGAGAGAAGAACCAGAGACTATATAGGAAAATATTTTAAAAATAAAAACTATAACTAATACCTGCAGAGAGTTAACAGAAAAATAATACATCTATAAAATAAGAACAGGAAGCCCTAATTTTTTGTGGGCAGAAGGGGTAAAAGGCGTGTACAGCAGCACTAAGGTCTTGAAAATAAAATGATATTGCAGAAATGAAAAACTGCAGAGTCTCTAGAAAGACAGAACAGAGAAAACAAAAGGGAAGAAATCATCAAGAAAATTTTCTAAAACCAAATGATGGGATTTTTCAGATGGAATGGTTCCTCAAGTGTCAAAAAAACAAGGAAAAAAAAACACATTAAGGCACACTAGGGACAAAAGGAAGACCCTACAACCTTCCAGAGAAGTAAAACAGGTTTTATTCAAAGGGTAAAGTATATAATGGCATTAGACTTACAGCATCACTAGGGGATGAAAAACAATGGAAAAATGCTTTTAAAATTGTGAGGGAAAATGATTTACAACACAGAAGTATATAATCAGCCAAATTGAGAAATAATAAAGTTGAGGAAAAAATAAAGTCATATTCATACCTGCAAAATCTCGAACAAAATAATCTTTCCTAAAAAGCTATGGAGTGAACCAAGGGAATAATACAGAAGAAGACATGGGATCAGGAAATAGGAAGTCCAACTACAGTGGAAAAGACAGGGAATTCTTCCAGAACAATGGTGCCCTAAGTTTCCAAAATACTTATGTAGCAAGAATAGAAAGCAATCCGCCTGCACTGGAACATATCAGAAAGCTCCTCCTGAAAGACATATTCAAGCACATGAAATTAATAGACTGTCTCATGTGTTTTACCATCATGAGGGTAATTTTAAACAATTTAGGGTTGCATTAGGGATTAGAAAATTAACCAAATGAAAACAAAGAGAAAATACTATGATGAAAAGAAAAAGTAAACATTATATACTATATTTCTCAGCTGTGAATAGTATTTAAATAGTCATAATAGTGTAAACAATGAATAATTAA